ACATATTTACTATTCTAATTTATAATTGAGCAATATCATAAATTATATGATTCCTGTTGCCCAACACAGAAATGAATACATCCAAGATTCATCAATAATCACCAGAAATATTTCTCCCTAAAGGTCAGGATATTCTTCTACCTACGCAAAGTCTTAAAAAAGGGGGTAAATTTTGGAAAAATATCTGCTTCTCTATTAACATAATTTTCCAGTTTATTCAACAGGAAATACCCATTATATTTCAGGATAAAGATATAGTGGTTAACTGAAGAGATTTCAGTTTGCCTAGTGGACTCAAGTATCAGCCCCACTATTTTATGGTTATTTGACCTGGGACAATTCACTAAATAATTTCACTCTGTTTTTTCTTGTGTAAAATGGGATGACATTAGTATCTACCTCTTAGGATGGTTTGTAGGCTAAATGAAATGATAAGCATATCATTTAAAACCCAACTGAGTACATAGTAAATACCACACAAGTGTTGCTATCATTACTTCCTGACTCCAGTCCTTCCTCTTTCCCACTGCTATAACCTCACATTTTTGTCACCCTCCCTCCATTCTTATACTCCCACAGATTGGCTCTCACAAAATATGATTTTCAGTTGACCCAAAATTCAAGTTTCTTAACTAATTACCAGTATTTCCTACAACCTAGTTCCAGCCTTAATTTCCAATATTATCTGTTTTTCATCCAATATAAAAAAACTTATTCTGTTATCAAATTAATTCATTTGTCATTCACTGAAGTATGCCACTTAACCTCTAAACTTTTCTGTGTTGTTTCCCTGATTTCTCTTAACATTTTCTAGCTGCATCAAAATCTAGTACAAAATGCAACATCTATTAAATTAAATGAAATAGAATTACTAACACTAGCTTTGACTTCCAGAGATCAGATATTGATATTAAAAGGCATTTCTCTAAGTCTCCATTCTCCAATTCAACAATAGTAAGATATTACAAAATGTTTGAACCCATTAATTTTTGAGTAATAATATCTTGCATACTATTAAGTTTGAAAATATGCCTCAGATAAAATACCACTGGTGGGTTGTTTCATGATGTGAAGTGTTAAGGGACTGAGATCACTGCATGGCTAAAGTAGAAGAAGCTGAAGATCATTAAAGAGGTTAAAAGGGAAGTCATAGCATGGTCAATATGTTGTAAAAGGTGTTCGTGTACTATGACAAACCTGGAAATGATACAAAGAAAGGGGAGTGATTAAGCCAACCTTAACTCATCTTTCCAAACCTCTCTGCATTGCATAAAGTGGCTGAAGAACTACAAGAAAATGGTGTAGTTTGATGTGGAACTAATGTTAGGAACACAAGGATGGCTCATCATCAGAAAATCAAGAAACATAATTCACCCCATCAACTAAAAGAAAGATAAAAACCATATGATCATATTAATAGATGCTGAAAAGCATATGATAAGATCCAACATCCATTTATGATGAAAACCCTCAAAGAACCGGAGATAAACAGAATATGCCTTAACATACTAGAAGCCATCTAAACAAACCATAGCAAAAAACACTCTCCTTTTTAAAGATATATTTATTTATGCATATAGAACTGGTATATAGGCCAGAGGTGCGGGAGTGAGGGATGGGGAAGGGGGCTTGATAGGACTGACCAGAGACAGAGCGGATAGCAAAACAGCCAGACTGATGAAGCACACTGCTGAGGGGAGCAGTGGGCGAGACAGGAAAGGTCTGCTGTGCCATGATCACCTCCCTTGCTGGGGATTGAACTTGTGCTGCAGTGGCTGTGATAGCTTCACAGTGCTGTGCCTTAATGTTTTGCACCACCTGGGAGGGCCCTGCTAATAGCACTCTTCACAATGAAAAACAAGGAACTATTTCACTAAGATCTAGTACAAGACAAGGATGTCCACTGTCACCAGTGATACTCTACATAGTTTGGAAGTTCTAAATAGAACAATCGGATAAGAAAAGGATATAAAAGGAATCAGAATTAGAAAAGAAGAAATAAAGCTATCATTTGCAAGTGACATAATAACATACATACAGAGCCCTCAATAGTCCACAGAAAAACTAAAAAATGAAACAATCAGTTCAGTAAAGTGGTAGGGTATAATATCAACACAAATAAATAGTTGCCTTCCCATATAAAAACATGCAATAGAAGAGGGAGAATTTAAGAAAGTGATGCCATTTACTATTACACCAAAATAAATAAATAAATATTTAGGTATAATCCTAAAAAACTTGGTAAAAAAAGTAAATACAAAGTATAGGACATTGCTGTAAGAAATAAAAGACCCAAAGAAATGGAAAAGATATTCCCTGTTCATTGATTAGAAGAAACAACAACAGAATGTTGGATCCTAAAAAGCAATACACACATTCAACACAATTCCAATAAACTTATCAATGGCTTCTTTTAAAGAACTGGAACAAATATTACTGAGATTTATATGGGGTCACAAAAGACCCTAAAGCAATCTGACAAAAAAGAGAGAATGGAAGTATCACTTCCAACATCAAATTATATTTAAAAAAATGCATCTGCCATTCAACCCACTAATTCCATTCCATGACATCTATATAAAAAGAAATTTAAGCCCCTCCCTGGTGGCGTAGCGGGTTAAAGCACAGCACTGAGAAGCTAAGGCCACTTCCACATGAGTTAGATCTCCGCCTGCCCCGGAGGTGACCACATGGCGAGGCAGACCTCTCCTGACCCGTCCGCGGCTCCCCGTAGCAATGTACTTTGTCAATCTGCCTGTTCTGCTCCCACTGTTTCTGGTGAATCCTCTCACTGCCCCTGAGCCTCTGGCCTGTATCCCAGTTCCGTATGCACAAATAAATAAATCTTTAAAAAAAAATTCAAAGCATAAATGTGTCTACTAAAAGGTTCTGTCCCTAATTAAAAAGAAGCTGAAGTGTAGTTTCTTCAGTGAGCAGTAGTTTATCTTTTTACATACTTTATATGACATGATTATGAAGTTATGATGCTTAATAACCAGTGTACTTGAATTGAAATATCAATTTACTAAGTACCTGGAACTGTATTACATTTTATATGCATTGACTTACCACAGGTGAGGTATTCTGAATCTTATATTCATTTTTATTTTTTTAGGTAGACTCATTTTTATTTATAACTATATGTCCTATTGGTTCAGTTATTCTGAACAATCCTTACTACTATAAAATCTTTAATTTTTGTAATAACATTCTAGCGATTAGACTCCACTAATCACCCATGTTCATACCGCCTCTGCCTACCTTCCCCTCACATTCATATTAAAGAGACAGTAATTTCTTAAGGCACACAGTTAATGATTGATATATCCATGATTTAAATGAATCCAGAGTCTGAATTCCTAAGCCACTACACCATGCCAATATATATATATATTTTTTTGGTGTATATATATTGGGAGACGATGTACAAACACCCATATCAATACTGCCATATTGCATTTAGGTGTTTTAGAAAAACTATTTTGAACTATTTTTGAATTGTCTTTCAGGTCATCCTACTTTATTAAACAGGGAATTTGGGTAGATAGTCCTTTCCAACTTCAGAGTACTATAAGGAAGCATTTAACTGTGTTTTGTTGTTTTAAAGATTTATTTATTTATGCATCCAGAACTGTGGTACAGGCCAAAGGTGCAGTGGTGGTGAGAGGATTCACCAGACACAGAGTGAAAAGCAGAACAGGCAGATCGACGAAGTACATTGCTGAGGGGAGCAGCAGGTGAAACAGGATAGTCTGCTGCAAAATGTTTATCACCTGTGGAGAGCGGGATTGAACTCACACTTATGCGATTGAAGCTGCTGTAGCTAGCTTGCAGTGCAGCGCTCTAACCCGTTGGCCACCAGTGGGGCCCTTAACTGAGTTTTTTTTTAAAGATTTATTTATTTGTGCATACAGAACTGGGGTACAGGCCGGAGGCTCAGGGGCGGTGAGAGGCTTCACCAGAGACAGAGTGGGGAACAGAACAGGCAGATCGACGAAGTACACTGCTGAGGGGAGCAGCGGGCGGGCCAAGAGGGGTCTGCCACACCATGTGGTCACCTCCGGGGCAGGCGGGAATCGAACTCATGCGAAGGCGCCTTTAGATTCTCAGTGCAGTGCTTTAACCCGCTGCGCCACCAGGGAGGGCCCCCTTAACTGAGTTTTTTAATGAATGGAAGAAGACTTGGAGAACTTCAGAACTTATTTTAAATACGTTTCATCCAAGGATAATTTAGATTATTTAGACATTTTCATAATCTACATTTTCACATATCTCCTACATATTCAAACTAGGCTAAATGCGGAATGGAAAAACATCGTTTGAAATTAATGTCGTGACAGACAACACAAAAAATACATCTTCAGTATCCTCAAAATAAAATCCAAGGAAATAACCAGAATACGTTTGCACTCAAATATTCAGGCCCTTAAATAAATTGTTTACATTTTTCAAAGTATTGGTAGAAGCTTTGTTTTTTCAAGTCTTGTATTCAAAGCCCATATTCATTATTTTGGATAGGTATAAAGGGTGGTATTAAAACGTCATAGGTCTCTGCTTTCTTATTTAATGTAATGACATTAAAATATTTGGGGGGAATTACAGGCAACACATGTAAGTCATAACAGCAAATGTTAATACTTAATTCAAAACATCTTCAAATTCCCATATCAACACAGGCTAATCATAAATACTGGCACATGTTTTCACTCTTCTCATCTTCTGGTTAAGAGAACAAAAATCACCTCACTTAAGTGAGAAATATTATGTGTGAGTATGTCTATGGGACAATAGTAAAATCAGTCATTAGAAATCTTGAAGTCATATTCCTTTATTCATGCTAGCAAATAGCTCATCAAATTTTTGCCTTTTATATACATTTTCCTCTCAATATTCACAAATATTAAGAACTGCAAATAGAAATGTGTTCTTTTATGACTGTCTGCCAAATTCATTCAGCATGACTGCAATTGAGTGAAAAAATAAAAATACGTATTACTTACTGTATGTGGTGCTTGGCAATTTCAAAATGATTTGCAAACATTCATCCTCAAAATACTCCTACAAACTGCATCTGTGAAAAGATAAGCATCCAAAAGTAAGCAATTTTCCCAAGGTCACAGAAAAATTAATCCATACCAACAAACATTTAGACACTATATACTTTAACATAATGAAATAAGGCTTTGCAAAATATAGATCATACATGTAGCAAGACATAATGAGCTGACAAACACAATATTCCCAACTACATGCAAATATTTTAAACATCAGTCCAAGAGGACAATCTTAAATTAGAGGTAAGAAATACTGGCTTCAAAGTATAGGTAAGAAACACAGTGCACCCCAGGCACAGCCTAAACGACATCTGAAAATATGAGGTGTTCATAAGTAAATTTAGTTGGACATTTGAGATGGTTATTAACATAATTCAACTTTTTAAAATGTACATTTGCCTGATAGGAAGATCACTGATTTAGAAGAGAATTTTGCTTGATTTATCCAGAGAATTGCACCAGTTCACAATGTAATTGCATTTCAACTCTAATTGAAAACCATGCTCTGAGAAAAATACAGACATGCCACTTGCACACCTCACAAAATACACAACTTTCATTTTGCTTTTCAGAAAGTCAATGTCATAAAGTTACTTTATTTTAATAAAAAATTTATTAAAGAATTTGTTTTAGGGTATTGATAGAGGGGAGAACACATTAAATTCAAAGCTCAAAGTATTAAGTGGATTTTATGCTCTTGGATATATTTTATTAAAGAGGTTTTCAAAAGAAGAAAAATAAAGCATAACCTAATAATAATAAAACAACTCTATTTAAAGTGCCTGTTGTTTCAGACAGATTGAACACACTATACACAAAACAAAAAAAAACTTCCTAAGTATTAAGCATTGTTAGAAGATCCTTAGCTCTCAACAATGAACAGAATTTCTGCTAAGAGAAATAGGATCCATTATAGTACTAAACAGAAACACCAATTTAATAATATAGGAGATGTGATTTTGTATTCAGCAGAACTAAAAGTAACCAAATGAAAAGTTCAACAAGCATCCTGAGTTTAAGACCTAATTTATCTCTTCTTCCAGCATATGAAAGATAACAATATGACTCCAGCCTCTACCTGGTATGGGAGTGTATGATTTTACAAATGACCAGCACAGCACTTTCAAACAAGAGGAAGAAACTAGACAGACTTGGTAAGTTTGCAGTTAAATGTCAAAATTATATGAGATTCTTTAGAAACCATATATTTAAGAGATTCTTAAGAAACCATGTATTTTTATAAATTTAATTTTCCTAAAAGTTGGAGCTTAATAAATATACAAATTTATATTCTCATATAATTTCATCATGACAAAGTTATGAAAATTAGCAGAGTCACATGTTTCTTCATATTCACATTCTCATCACTACATTCAAGAGAACTAAAATTAACACCAATCGCAAAGATTTCCCAATGTGAAGCAACTAATACACAGGTGATCCTAGTTTCATAATGATCTGTTCTGACCTGTAATTGTTCTCATTCAAACCTGCTAGGCCTAATACCTCTGTAATACCACTTACAGAGCAGAGACTGAAATTCCCCTCAAAGCTTCCAGACCAGAGGAGATTGGCATAACAACCAAATCAGTTTACCAATATATTTTGTTTATCCCACACTATGGTTTTAAAGGACACTAAACAATATTCCAAGGCAGATTTCTCATAACCATCCTCATTTCCAGCTTTTAGAAATTCAAGTGAACATTTTGCAAGGTGAAACTCAGTCTCCAGAACATGAAGAAATGGTTATCTCCTTTGCAGGGATATGTTTTCTGCACTCACCCATTTCATAATTTGGTAGTTTGTCTACTGTGCAATCCTCAATCCTCAAGCACAGGAATGTCTTGTCCCTTATCAGTCTCTTTGCCCACCAACTATAATCAGGTAAACTCAAATTAAATAAAGTCTGAATATTATCTGCTGTGAACCCAAATTAAGAAAAGTTTGAAAATACTTAGCCTCAGTTCTTTAAAGTCATTAAAGACTGAAAAATGTTCCAGATTTTAAAAAGCTTAAAAGATAAGACAGCCAAAGACAAAAGTGATGCTAGATGCAATGAGTTATATAATGATATTTAAGTTAATAATGAGCTTCTTGATTTACAGTTGTACTGTGATTATATAGGGTAATGTTCTTAAGAAGAAACACTCAAATACTAAAGAAACATGTTTACATAGTATTTTCAAATGATTCAGCTATATATATACATATACACACTCACATACGTACATATATATTTACAAATACATATATGAAGAGAATCCTAGCAGAAATAATAAAGCAAAGCAAGCATAAGTAAACAACAAATCTGGGAAGGTAGTATTCTTAAGTACAAAAGTTGTAAAATTTCTGTCTGTTTGAAACAATATAAAAATTACAACTTAAAGAAAAAAATGTAGAAATAAATAAATGTTTTACTTTTATTGAGCTCTTTTAGTATCACACAAAAACAATGAAATGATGCATTTTTAAAGAAAAAATTAAATATTTAAAAAATAAGTCAGAGTCATTGCCCATGCTTTTGACAACTATGATGATAAGATATTTAGAGTGATACATAAGTATTCTCATGTATTAAATATAGGATGTTTATATATATATTCATAAATTTATATGCTGAATATATTTAAAGATATGCATTTGTTTATAACTTATATATGTACATGTGAATGTAAATATTTAAGATACAAAGGGAAATAAAATGTAGAACCTAGTTTTGTGTTTTCAAATAAATCATACAGACAATAATTTTATATTAACCAAATTCGATGAAGTTAAATATTACCAAAAGAAAGTAGTCATCAGGAAAAAGGATAGTATAGGTCTGTAAAATTATCAATGTTAAGTGGATTTTTATCCAACTGTTTTTCTAAATCAAAATTAAACAGTTTTTTAAATTCAAAAAGAAACATAAAAAATTAAAATCAATGCCCACAATAATATATTTTACATATAACTTTTTTGTTTACCTCGACTTTTATTTTACAAATTTGACATTATCAACACTTTTATGATTAGATTCTCATTTTACTTGTGAATTTCCTTTTGTGGTAATATCAAACATTTTATCATAAAATGATCTTTTCAGTGATAACTCTTCCATACATGCCATTACTTAGCTTGTACATCTTCATACTTATATTGTTACCAGATATGGTTATAAAAATTAAAGAATAAAAATACTGCAAATTTCCTTTTGTGTACAACTTCTGTCATAGCAGGAGTGCTTCCTGAGGATATAATATACAGAAAGGGAATTGTTGGACCAAAATAGCATGAGGTTGCCAGAGTTGTAAAACTGCATAATTAAAAAGTATGCACTTAGTTTTCAAATTTGAAAAACCCCACAACCTGGTTATATTTTACAATCCCTATAGCCAGTGACACAGGATTTGTTGCATCTTTGGCCCTAGCTCTTCGTATTATGTGTCGAATTAAGTTTATTCATTTTTAGTATTACACATGTTGAGTTTGTTTACCATTAAAAAGCTTTCAAGAGCTTATCCAATTTGACTCAAGTTTTTAAAAATGCATATGGAAGCAGAAAATTTTAATTAAATAATCATATATTTTTAGAGGAACTATTTCCTCTGATATTCCTTACTTTGTTACAAAGAAGAATCAAGCACTTTAAAAGATTTGGCCCTCCCTGGTGGCGCAGCTGGTTGAAGCACAGCACTGAGAATCTAAAGCCGCTTCCGCATGAGTTCGATTCCTGCCTGCCCCGGAGGTGACCACATGGTGTGGCAGACCTCTCCTGACCCGCCCGCTGCTCCCCTCAGCAGTGTACTTCGTCGATCTGCCTGTTCTGCTCCCCACTCTGTCTCTGGTGAAGCCTCTCGCTGCCCCTGAGCCTCTGGCCTGTACCCCAGTTCTGTATGCACAAATAAATAAATCTTAAAAAAAAAAAAAAAAAAAAAAAAAAAGATTTAAGGAAAATTCCTACAAATAAATTAAGATGTGCTACAGTTTTATAACCAAAAGCACACAAAAGAATTGAATATAACATGACAAATAATTCATTAAAACAGAAAACACTATATATGCACCTGAGTAATGCAAACAACTATTCCAACTATTCCAGGTCTCATTTCTAATTTATAGCATTACTACTCTTAAGTGTCAATTAAATTAACGGTTCTCACAGATCGTAATTTGTATCAGACATCTTTCTTCTTATGATCATTTTGGATTATTCCAAGTTTAACTTTCCTAGGTTATGCATTCCTATTTTGTACCCTTAAATCCAGGAGATTAAAAGAAATGTCATTTAGTATAAGTATACAATGAGCCCTTCTGGAGTTTTACTTAGTCTTCCTTGGCAAATCACTGGTTTGATCACAAATAATAAGTTAAGCCTTCCTTTACACAAGACAATTTTTTTACTGGCTGATGAGAACATTATATGAGATAAAAAGTCAACCTCACTGAAGTGAAGATATATGAACTCTTTGCTTTACCTCATATTTAAGTCCTGTCATTGTGTCAGAGAATAAAATTAGATTAACTCACAGTGATTTACTCCTCTCAAAGTCATGTTGGTTGTTACCCCATTTGTTCTTCTCTTTGAGGTATATGAAAGTCAAGTGTCTTTTTTATTTATTCCTCTATTTTCCTAGATATCAAAGTAAGCTGATTAATCTAAGTCAAAGTCATCACTAATATATCTTTCTCTTGCTTTCTCTCTCTCTCCCAAATTTGGCCTTCATAAACACTAAACTAACTCCCACCCTCTCTATTATAAATATGACTCAACAATAAGCCTATAATAATTTCACTCATGGAAGTTATGAAAAAATCAGGATATCCTGAATATTGTACATTATTTAAGTATAATTCTTCTGAAGTCCATTAACCATCTTACTGGTACATAATTCCATATGCAGCAATGCATATATGCCATCATAGACTATCTGCCTAGTTAATCCTTTGATCAAGATCCTAGAAACATATATTTGTCCTTGATTTTTCAGTCTCTACATTGTCGAGTCTACATATGGTGTTTCCTAACTGA